CCTTCCAATTTTAGCTCATCTGGTAGGCGCAGTCTCCGGGCTTTCGTCAACCTTACGTCCTAATTGAACCCAAATTACACGAAATTAGCGAACAACTTTGGTTTTGCAAGTGACTCAACTGAAACCCAGCTGAATCTCTCATTTATGGTGTTTTTGGACAACTATACATACTTCTCTGCAGGTAAAAGAGCCGAAAAAGAATTCAAAGTTGTCCTCATAAAATCCAGGTGCGCAAAAGTTGGCAATATGTCTTTAGCAAGAAAAATAGTTTATGCTATCGATTACCGTTCCCGTTTGTCCTTTTCATGGCGGAAAATTTGACCTATCAATCACAACTGTAGAAATGTTTTACATTGGGCCTTTTTGATGTAACGTTTCTCTGCGTGAGCGACACTTTTGCGATAAATTCAGTAAAATTCTTTTCAAATCGTTTCGGGAACTTTTACCACCAAGAAGAAATATGTACGATCGTGTGCAGCTTGCAATCTGAAGACAAAGATCCAAGGCAATGCAGACAGCGTCTTCGGTGATCATTAGTTGTTTCGAATGAACCAGAAGGTATGTTTTCGCAGTAATGAAACACAGTAGATAAATTGTACCCGTCGTGGCTGTTAACTTGGCATTTGTAACCTCACAATCATCCACCGGGCTATCATCCTTCGTTCGGTAGGCAAAACGCATTAGTTTACAAAGAATCCCACTCAGTGATGAGAACACAACAGTCACAGGTATAATAAACGAGTAAACCAGATGGAATGTATCAAGTTGATGAACTCGGTGGTTCTGAATGCGACATACAACCATTTTCGGTAACAGCACGAAACAGTCTAGTAGCACAGCTACTCCGCAGCTAGCGATCAACATCACAATAATCAATAGTAACGTCCATTTCTCAGACATAGTAGGTGACTTTAGCAACTCAAAGCGACAGAACGTCTGGCCGCATAACAGAGTCACGTGCCATGTTGTACAGTCGCGAGTCACTTGTTCCACCATCAGTAAAATGCAGTAATTCATATCTGGTGCATAAATCCAACCAGGTGGACGAGTGATCCTCAACACTGCATGCACAGTGTATGTCAGATGTCCAATCAAATCAATACAAACCGCGGAAACAAGTAACAATCGGACAGACGACTTCAATGGACAAACTGGCCACTCTGGCGACGGGGGATAATCGGTAGTAAAACTGTGCTTCACAAAGCTACAAAAAACAAAATAGATCCAGCACGTGATCAATCCACCAAAAGTGGCTATCAGGTTGGTCACAGTGAAAAGAGTTATAACGTAGTCATAGATTAGATACTGATGTGAAGATGCAGTTGTGGAGTAGCTCATGAATGTGACTTTTCCAAAACCGCCGGACTTTCTTCGAATATCACAATGAAACTGACTCGAACACTCGTTTATTTAGGTGAGCTGCACTTATGAAGCAAACGAGGGAAATATGGCAGTACTCTGGCCATGCAAGTGGATACTTCGGGTTTCTATCGATCAGTGTCGCACACAAAAGGACTGAAGCACCGAGCGTTTCTGCCAATCAGCGCTTGTAGACAAAGTCTAGGGAATGCCCGACGTTGCGTATCCACTCGAGTGCTTTGGGCGTTGTCGACAGGGAGAGAGAGAGAGAGGGTAAACCGAGTGGCAGCAACAGTGAAGGCGAGTGTGACTCAACACGGAAATCAGTCCGTGTAAGCTCACAGATTTCGAAGAGGTCGGTGATTGTGCAAAACATAACGTCTAAATCTGAAATAATTTCTCCTCAGTTTGAATCATTTTTATACACCTAATGTCCAAATAGATGAGCATTCTTGAGTAATACCTTGGTTCCTAGAGAGACACAACCGCAGACGCTGTCTAGGGATTTGTGAGCACAAAACTTTCTATGATGTATACAAGATGGGTGCTGAACGGAACTGCGTAAGCAGTTGATGAAGGTCATGCCCGATTTGTAAATAGATCCTTCTAGAATACGTGTACGATATCGCTGTATCACTTCCCGTAAGTGATACTTGAGGTTTTAACTCAAAAGTCACAATGTAGTAGTTGGAAACACGTGATAAATACGCGGGAAGCACAGATTCAAGCGGTGAAGTCTATTTGAATACTCTGTGGATGACCACATTGCGTCCTTTAGATGACCTCGTAAGGAGAATGCTGATAAACTGCCGCCCATCTTCTCATTTCTCTGTGGATGATTACATCTATGGTACCTATTAACTGCTCTGAAATCCCACTCCAAGATCGGTTTGAGAGCTGTGTTGGTGTGAATCTCATAGTGTTTTGTATCCGGTTCTTACAGTTGTAGCGGACATTTCCATGTCCCCTCAAACAACTTCACTTAATTTGTCCAGTACATGCGTGTTTACTAGATCCCACGACGTACCTGCTACACAAGCACACAAATCACGTGACAAACGCCGTTCCGCCCGCAACCTTGACCGACTACATGTCAGTTCCTGTCTTGTACGCATCGGAACAATTCATATTTTATACACGTCAAACTTTCCTATATATAGGAAGCGACAACACAATCAACACGCACGGACTCGCGCGCGCGCAGGGAGCAAGGAGTCAGCCAAACACTCCAAGTCCACGGACAATCATGGAATACGTGTAACAGCCAAACTGTGGAGAAAACACGTTCCCACCGTCCGGACTTTCACCAAGGCACTCCCACATATGATAAGTTCCTTTACTGACTTGCCCCCATTTCGCATTGTATTCATTTTTATACGTGTCGCAACCACACTAAATATCTCTATTAGTGCACATACGCCTTCTAATTTGCATTATGCTCATCATCAGCTGAGCACTAATAGAGTTCACGCCCTGCCCAAAGATATTTCGAAAGACACTGATTTATTTTCGTAATGCACTACTCATAAGGTTGCTGAAAATCTGTCGACAGCCCACGATCAGTTTCGCCCTTCCACTTCGGGTAGGAAGGTGCAGTCCCTGATTTTCCGTCAACCTTATGTTCTACTTGAACCCAAATTGGACTGAGTTTGAGAATTACACTCATTTGCAAATCAATTTGGTTTTCACGAGAGACTCAACTGAATCTCCCGTTTATAATATTCTACCACTGAATGTGCTGCACACAGGCCGCCTCATGTTTCAGTTGGTACGATATTCGAGATAGCGCGGTATATTTTCATGAAGGAAACTACTCAAAAGTTTGCTGCAAACTCTTCGACAGCCCACGACCGGTTTCGCCCTTCTTGGAGCTCATCCCTAAAAAGGAGTTATCCGGTTCATCTACTCCAACAGCCTGTGAATTCTCACAGGTTGGGTATCGAAATATTTTCCGTACAGAGTATGTCCGACCTAAGCTGGAACGTCATATCCGACAGATCAGTATAGGCAGAATGAACAAAATTCACCAGTAGCCAAAGCATGGATAACGAGATCTCTGACTGACTAACATTTTATTGATGACTCATCCGTTTAATCGATCAAATCATTCAGCCTTCACGTGGACAGTGTATGTTCGCTGTAGCCAGACTATATGTGTTATTTTGAACTGGTTTTTCTTCTCTACACCCACAGATGGCACCAATGGCATCGAAGATAACAAAACTTCGCACCAAAAGTTCTCACGACAAGCAGGGCAACAGCAGATATGACTTGTTTGACAAGGAATAAAGCTCTTAAAAAAGCAAAATAGAGCAGCTTGAAATATTCAGCAGAAAGCCTGGATCGGTTTCCGCTCGTCCGCAAACAAATCAAATAGCTTTTGCGAAGTGCTCTCTTTGGTACACCAATTTGAGCTTGACGGGAGACCCAAGTGAATCCCCCGAGTGAACAGCTCCTATATGATATAGTTCAACTGGACGTGCTGCACAGAGGCCGTTTCATGTTTCCCATCGGTACGGCATTCTGAGATATTGCAGTACACCTTTTTGACAGATTACTACTCAGAAGGTTGCTGAAAACTCATCCACGGCCCAGGACCGGTCTCGGACTCATCACGTAGATTCAGTTTCCATCAATTTAATACTATACTCCAACTCAAATTGAAGGACACTCCCCAATTACACTCCGTCGCACACCAGTTTAGATTTAAAGGGTAACCTGAGTAAATCCCAACTAAAGAATAGCGTGAACGAGTGATTCAGCTGGGATGGACCAAGTGCTTAAAGCGCTAACTTACTGACCGGAAAGTTTGTGGTTCGAACCCGACCTCTGCACCTCGACTTCCCCTGTCAGGGCTTGGGCGACCTGGCAGTATCCCAACCCTCGTGCCTCCTTCGTGTGGAATGGTAGCTAGGCACCGAAAGGGTGCTACAACTGAACGATTATTTTAATATTTCAGCTGGGATTCAATCAGCATGCAAGTGAATATATTTTGTGCAATTCAGGTTCAAGTACAATTTAAGTCTGACAGAAACTCCGGGCCTGCGCCCACATGATAAATCTCGATTGGGGCAGAACGTTTTGCGGGTTGTGAAAAAGACTTTATCAACCTTATGATCAATCTTTGCTCAACTAATCAGTTGTAACTCATATGTACTCAAAATCCATCCTTCCACAACGCTGAAAGCTCGGGTTACAACAATGTTGTTACGCCTATTCCGCCGTAGCTGACTGATGGCAAATAAACAAACTGTATTTTTGCATAAAATCTCCTATTTCTAAGAAACCTCACCAAAAATGCATGCAACTATTTACCAAAAACATTGCCGGGAACTACGGGACAGTTAGGTTACCATGACGAAAACGGAAATTTATAAATTTCACACGTTCTACGATAAGAATTGAAAGTCGTATCCGGGTGGATAACGTCTTCTTCGTACGTGATATTCACAAAGGTAGATCTGGGCGTTCAAAGATATTTGTTAATGAGGAAGACAACCAGTTATTTTACTTTGTATAAGAAAAATTGAGTTCTTCTCAACATATATGTATATATATATAGCTTTGCGAATATAAAACGGCATTGTTGTTGGCACTAATCTAGTGTTCCGTGATAGGAGATGTCCACCCGTATTGTCACGATGCTCGTCGGAACGCTTGGAATAGCGAACTGCATTGCCGGTCTGATCGGAAATACTCTGTGGTTTCTCTACTTGGTTGGAAGCTGGTTTTGTGCGACAGGTCAAGAGCGACAAGTTGACGGTAGTCAGGGGAGCAACCAGGGTGGAGTGAGTTGGCCACGATGTCCTTTGCGTCCTTCGACCAGACTCTTCATGATTTCAATGTTCATCAACAACCTGATCGGATTGTACACCAGCAATCTTCGCTATTCCCTGTTTCTCCTGGTTACAAAAGATGTATGTTTTATCGGGGGGTGTATGGGCTGTCGTATACACTTATACATATCCGCCATTACCACCGACCTGTCCACATGGCACGTTGTCTGTCTGTGTTGTGAAAGATTCTTCCTGGCACTGTTCCCCCAATCCAACTATGCACGCGACCGTGAACGCATTCGAACGACTTTGCTTATAATTTTTGCAATGTACAGTGGGAGCATGTTGGCTGAGATGAGCTATCTGTTCCCACAGGAACTTGTATGCCATCCGACGTATAGAAGCATGTACTTGAGCGTGTTTAGATTATGCTTCGCTGCGATTGTCCCTGGTCTATTGATCTTGACTACCACTATTGGTGTTACTGTCATTTTGTTCAAGAGAGCCAGGCAGATGGATCAGTCAATCAAAGGATGGTTGGCCAGTAACAAACTACCAGAGGGAGCTCTGGCCCTAAATCTACTCTTGTTCATATCGGTCGTGGCTTCGTCCATTCGGTTGGTTCTCTTGTTAGTTGTTTTGGTCAATCCGATGTCATGCTCGCGCGTCACTGTCAATGTTGATGGATTAGACGGGAGTTCTATTTGCTCCTTTGCGATCGTTTTCTACTGGACTGCCTGCTGTCTGTGCTCTCTCATTCTAATGGCTAGTTCCAAACGCATACTGGACGATACGGAGAAGATATTGCTTGTCATATCCTCCTACATAACCAGAAGTCGATCCGTTTGTACGCAGACGCCGTAGAGTTTGTCCCCACGAAATCCAGGCGAAAACCTTCTCCACAAACTAATAAAAGTTCTCATTCTTCAATGAACTGCACTCTCTTCAAAATTCATTCGCATCGAACGCTAGTAGTTTCAGCTCTTCGAAAGGTATTGATCGTCTTGGTTTTTGAGGATTTCCTCCAAAAATACTTACAACTCGGATCATCTTAGATCACCCACCATGACAGTCAAGGTCACCATCCATCTGTTCACGTCTGAGTACGTGGGTTTCACGTGTGATCAACCAGCGTGACGTGATACGCGCCTCTAGTCCCTATGTTTTCTGTATTTATTTATGCTTGATCCGTTCTAGAAACTCCTCGAGAGTTTAAATTGAGTTGCTTGCCCATTCTACTAAACCAGCGGTTCTGCGTCTGTCCCCTTAAATGCATATCCTGGGGTTTATTCACACATTTCTGGCTCTTCTCCTTAATGAGTGCGATAGGCAGGGGTCCTTAGTTCATACTCCTCGCAATACTGTCGTTCTTTGAATTAATTCACCACATGGAGTTGTGCGTGCAACAGTACCTTGCGTTATTCTTGCGAACGGCTGCTCCCTGTTAACCGAGAAAACACAGCTTCTTAGTGAATGTACTGAAACCTAGATAAATTTGACTTTTTCTTTTGAAGTGAACAAGGGAACAGCCAAATATCGGACCTGTGAGAGCAGTCGAACATCGGAAATCTCTGCAGATATGGGTAACTCACTTTGATCAGTCTGTTGGTCAGGTGGCTTTCGATTTGTGCTTCAAGCTTGGCAGCTGGTTCGCAAGGCAACTCACAAACTACCTGAGACTTATATTTCACAGGTCATCCATTGAGGAGCCGGTCGGAACGTGACCACATTATGTGAATTCCATGTTTGTCAGATGAATGTCACTATATCCTGTTTAAGTGCGAGCTGAACACAATGCTCGTGAAAACTTGACCGTCATTCAGGAAAGGAATAAACCAAAACGCGGCAAGTAGAAAGACATGACTTCCCTATAGGGGCGAAGGTCAAATGGAAGGACCATAGAATCCTGGAAGGTGTGAACTGGGGTCGCCGAAGCTAGGGAGTCGTTGGCAAGGCCCGTTTGCCGTTACCAACCAAACGTCTACACAACTCAGGACGGTCGAGGATCGACTGTCGACTACGACTTGCGTGCGCGTTACTTAGACATTATTAAAAATATTTTTTAAAAATAACACCCCTTTTGGCGCCTAGCGGCCGTGCCGAAAGTAGCATGAGGGCTGGGATACTGTCAGGTCGCCGAAGCCTAGACAGGAGAAGTCGATAGGCAGAGGTCGGGTTCGAACCACGGACATTCCGGTCAATCAATTTGGGATATAACCACTGAGCCATCTCGCCCCACACTTGGACATTATGGTTAGTGAATAAGCTCCGGTGTTTCAAATATGAATTTGGTCCAGTTGGCAACTGTCATTTAGCGTGCTGGACTGGAACAAGTCGTGAATGTTCCTCAAGGCTGTCATGCACAGTAGGCAGTGCGAACATATGTGTGGAACCCCCCAGGAGAGCTCTTTGAATTTCGTTTCGTGGGTTTTTTGTTGTTTTGTTGCAAAAGCCAGTCAAACGGTGAAAGCTGATGAAAGGAAACGAAGACATTTGCTCTCACAGTGCGTGCGATGATCGATCAGAATGATTAAAATCGAATATTTGCCTGAGAACATCACAAACGAGAGATTGAGCTGGTGAGTTCCAGGTGAGTCTCTCGAAAAAACAAATTAGTTCGCAAATGAGTGTATATTCGCTAATTTCGTGCAAGTTGGTTTCAAGTAGAACATAAGATTGACGGAAACTCGGGGAGCGTGCCTACCTGATGAGTCCAAAGTGGAAGGGCGAAACCGGTCGTGGGCTGTCGACGGATTTTCAGCAACCTTATGAGTAGTACATTGGCTGTCGACTTCAGCAACCTTATGAGTAGTACATTACAACGAATATTTTCCGTCTTACCGAGATTTTCCAATCGGACGGTAACTCGCTTCGCTTTTGCTGAAACAGTTGTTACAATTCGTAGCGACATGAATTATTGATGTCCTTACAATGTTGTAAGATCCATGGATTGCATTTCGTAAAAGCGAAACACAAATTTCTCTTGAAATGGAGGACCAGCTGCCTCAGGCAATTAGAATGTTTATTTTTCATTCCTATGAATTCAATGTACGTCTTATAACACCAAGGAAACGTGCCGGTAAACCTTTCGAAAGCTCAACAAATTCGATCTAGGTAAAGCATTTCAACCACGTACAACAACTGGGTAGTTACTAAGCAAAACCTTTTGAAAACATGCCGAAGCGGAGTGTTTACAATGTCATGAAATGAACTGAAAAATAAAGCAAATCGTTCTAAATCTCGAACAGACTGCGAACATATCGCCATAGAAACTTTTGCCAATTAATGTATCCGAATTCGCATATTCAACGGGTTTGTAGCATGGCTGATCCCTTTGAGAAGTGAAGACAAATGTTTGACGGACAGCTGAATCACACCTGTTTGGAAGCGACCACCGGTAAACAGTCCAAGGAACTTTACTGAGTTAGGGATCGGCAGCATTCAGAAGTGAAGCGGAATAGTTTGGAATCTAGTTTAAATTGAGTGTTGAGTAAATTTGATGAGTTTCACATAGAATGTGTGTTGCCTTGCTTAGTACAGCAACATACTGCCCACATGGGTAGGTATTTAGATGATTCTGTGATTTACATCGAAGATAGCGTAATGAGACTTAAGTGCATACTACTTAAAAATGATGAGTAGCAAAAACATTGGTGTTTCAGATTCATCCCACACGACCGTTTACTGTGCTGACGGCAATATGTGGGAAAACTCTAAATCCTTTAGATAATTGGGTGATATTATTCCCGTTTGCATCTGTTTGACCTGATAGAATGTAAGGGGATGTTATATACCTGGGTGAACAAAGAGTTGTTGAGTTACTCTGTTATTTCGAGACGGACTGCTCTCGGTGATCATATACGAGTTCTTATACGGATGTTGCGTGTGACATAAACGCAGGATCTCCATTCTCGTAGTGAAATTTGCTGAAGCTGATTGGAAAACGACGCTGGTGGATGTTTATCCAACAGCCCTTGAGACGGTACATAGCTGCAAAAGCATGCAGACATTAGGTGGATCAGAGGGGGACACAGTTAGCCATCGCTCGTCTGGTGCCTAAAAACACCATGCCCATCTTTTTCGCTAAGTTTAGGTCAGATAACTGATTCCTGGATTGCACGGTACCAGTTCCCAACTAGGGGCCAATTCACAGCGGTACTCGATCGAAGCACCCAAAGCTAGATCTACGAAAAGGTGGAAAATTCTCTCTTCTGTTCAATGTTCAAACTTGTAATCACACCTCTAATTCAAAGTTGGCTTTATGGTATCCTGATCGTTGTTTTAATCCTAAAAAGTAAGGTCTGATCCCTACATTGTGTTTTCAGTAAGTGGTATTTCGATGAACTCGTTTAGAACAGCAGTGTATTAACTGACATTTGTCGCTTTTAGGAACTTTGTGGTCTGCATGAGCTGTTTCTGAGACGGCTCACAAGGCTCTAAACCCTTCTAGATCAGTTCACTAACACGGATCAAAATACCTCCCAATATAGCCATAAAATTTTTTTATGAGAACGTTCTTTCGAAAGACTGTGTCCCGCACTTCGCGGACAAGTTCCAAAGGCCTCATGTCTAATTAGTTCAAATGAGTCCCATGATACAGCAACTGGTCACCCACATATTGGTTTCTCGGGCCTGGACGTATTCAACGCCCTAATGAAAGGGTCTTTTTTACGTCAAATTGAGCGAAAAGCCTTCCATAAATCTCTACATGTGCAGACTATCACGGTTGGTGAGAATCCATCCCATGATTTTACTTGCAGAGGCATCGAGATCTGTTTTACTCCAACTGCATTTCTCGGTCCATCCATCCAGAGTTAATTTTCAGCAAGCCGCTTTTCTTTTCTATTTAGGGCTTATACCACTTCAATGTCCGTTTTATTGTGCAACGTAAAAGGCATCGTGAAGATAGTCTACTTCCATTAATTTTCTTCCGAGTGAGGCAGATTAAACGGAAGTTCATTAGTTGCACTCATCATCTTCAAAGGTTTTCTGATCTGTGAGCCAACATATCCGACTCCGTATTTGCGTCTACGGTGCGCTTAAAGACAGGCCGATCAAGTTGTAGAATATGGTTGCCGGATTTGTAGAATCTGTACCATTTGATATGGTTCTTACTGGAATATGAATAACCGAATACAAGATTAATTTATACATTGCGTTACGGCACTCTGGTATAAACAAAAGAACTTATCCTTGGACTACGGTCCTCTTCACAAAAAAAAAACAATTTAGGTCTTATATACCAACGATCGCCTATAACTGGCACACCTTTTCTCTTGGCTTGTGTCCGTCAGTAACTGAACGTACGTGAACCTCTAGCAATGTAGGAAGCAGTGCTTTGAACAGCATCGGTTGTCACGTGAAGAACGAAATAGGGACAGTATTGTATCGTTTCCAAACGAGACCTCATACGAGGTGATACATGTCTTTAGGAATACACCAATCTGTGAATTTAAATCGAAATCAACAACAACCAATACGGGTGTCGAATATCGAAGAACAACTGACGTGTGGTCATTCACAACTTGTCCAGTAGTCTGAAAATACACAAGAAAGTAACTGAGTGGGAAAGCCTTTCACTTGTATGGATACGTAGGTTCACACACAATAGTACTTAAGCTTCCCTAAAGGGTTTCATCAACGGGAAGTAACACGCGAAAATTGGGCTTCGGTGATGCAAACTTAGTTTGAGTGCGTATCCTTAATCACACAATGGAACATTGATTCGGGTATACCCAACAGACCAATTTCACCTATTCCGCTACCTCAATACACACCGCACATCAAACAATACCTAGCCGAAAAATCAATACTGCAAGCTAACCGTGTAAACGCTACCTGGAAGCTGTCACATGAAAGCGCGT